GGGCTCATTCAATTGGAAAATAAAATCACTTTCAAAGAGCTGGGGAAAGCTATTAAACAGTGTGAATTATCAGGGTGTTAGATTTTAACACTACCCAGTTCTGCATCAGTATCTTCTTTCCAGAGTTAAGACTGCACTAAATTTAAAAAACAAAGCCCTTTCACCAGCATGTCCAAAAAAGTGCCCAATTTTGTGAAGGGCAAAGAAAGTACTCTGGTGAGCAGCCATTTTATTAGGCAAGTTAGGGAAACGTGACAGCTCTGCAGGATGCAACAGAGTAAGTGTTTTGAAGCTTCTTGGACAGCTGTAGCAGCATAATCGTTTGGTTCTATCAGATTTATTTTTCACCTCTTCTTTGTTCCCATTACTGTGCATCCTGAAGCTTTCAGGCGTGTGTAGACGAAACAGGAGCCCTAAATTGAAGCAGTGGGTTTTAAAAAACACAGCTTCAATTTAGGGCTGATTAAACCCCTGTCATGCACACACCCTGCTGACTTACTTGCCTCTCCGGTGGGGAGGAGAGGGCGAGCTGCTGGCAGGAGGAGTGGTCCCTGGGCTGTGGGGAGGGCTGGTGTTTCCCTCTGCAACCCTTTGCACCCAACCCCTTTCCCTTTGCACCCACCCGCAAGCACCCAGCTCGTGTGGTCCTGGGGGGAACCGCAACTGTGGAGGGAAGCACCAGGCCCCCATGCAGCTCAGGCAGGCAGGCTCCAGTGGGGGATGGGAAAAGATCAGGCTCCCTGCTTTTCTTGGGCAGAGCCTGCTTTCCTGGGCTGTTGCCAGGCTGCCTGCAGGGCTCTCTGCAGAGCTGTGGAGATGCACGGAGCCTGAGGCTTCGTTCTACGGCTATAGGGGCAGCAAACTAAAAGGAGTTTTAGTTTGCTATGCCCCAAGTCATTTAAGGCATTTTATGCCACTGAATTTCCTGCAGCGGCTGGAATTAATGCGCAATATGCCACTGAGGCGTGCAAACACTGACACCATTACAGCGGTCCAAAAGCATTTAGCCTGCTTTAAAGTGTCATGCACACACGCCTCTCGTTTCATCCATACACGGCCTTACAGTGCAGTTTAGAACATGTTTATTTGAAAGGTGGGATCCAATTCAGAGACTGGGTGATTGGTTCATCATTAACACAAGAATTGGAGATTCAGATGCTCAACACCTGGTATGGAAAGGCAAGGTAGCTAATAATGCATATAGCCACAGTTGATAAGCAGTGGAGAACATAATGCAACTGGAATCCAGTCTCATATAGGAGTAGGCGACAGCCACATATATTTTGACACTACAAAGTACAATATTATTTTGAAAGAAATATAGTACAACCTCATTTTAATGAACCCGCAGGGGATCAGGAGAAGAGCTCATTAAAAGAGGGTGTTTGCTATAATAGGGTTAGTCAATCTGTTGCATCATAATCATGGAAAAAAATGGTCCTGCTGTTGGAATTGTTAAAAGTGGAGTTGTCATAATGAGGTTGTACTGCGGACTTAATACAGGCAGTCTTATAAAAGTATGTGAAAAGTGCTTAGTTTGTTTTGCCTTTCAGTATTTCCCGTGAATACATATCTATATTCTTAGCTAGAGAGATGACAAGACACAGAAAACTTTTTACAAGTACATTTTTATTTAAAATAAAAATTAATTATGGTGCCTTTTTAAAATAGGGTACTGCACAATCTGTATATGCAGCACAGTTTTTGGTACAGAATATACTTATTGAGCAATATCCTTAAATGCTAAATATACATTAATGGCTTGTTTGAGAAACATGACAACATTAATTCTGATATTTTTCTCTTTAGTCATTTAACCACTGATACAGATTTTCCTATAAACAAGATTTGTTTTCATCTGTACATGTGGTACACAGTCAAGAAGGCAGATCTTAGAATATTTACATTCATGCATTAGTTTTAACACACTATCTTTGAGTTTAAAATCATATATTGTGTTTGTACAGATGCAGGAAGTATTGTGAATGGATGCATATATATGTATAATTATACCAGTCCCCAGTCTCCACTGTTTTGTGACATGTGCAGTCTTTTACACCTGGAAAAATTGAATGCAAAATAGGTGTAAAATGCTACCAAGTTAGAACAATTTATATTCCCTTGGCACGGTGTAAACAAGAACACCAACGCGGTAGAGAATTAGGGCTATGTATGCATATATATGTATGCTTCTATCTGAAACTTAGTCACTCTGTCTTTTCTTTTAAAGTCTGTTTTTGCAGGTACTAAGGAAGGTCTGGAATCCACACTGGCCATGTGTTTGTGGTGGGTCCGAGGCAGGAGGTTCTGAGTACCTCTTGCAAAGTGGTGAGCTCCTTCAACTGTCTTTAACTTCACCAAGTCTTGGAGGAGTTCAGCACTTTACAGGATTAGGTTCTTAAAGTGCTGGTCTCAGATACAGGACTTCAGATTCCAAACATTTCTTTAATTAAAATGAGTGCTTAAAGAAAATTCAGTTAATCCTCTGTCTTCAGACTTAACAAAACATTTGGATGTTTTACCTGTATGTCTGACTATGATTAAGGGGTAGAGCTGTGGTTTCTAAATAAGGCCCTACTCCAATAACAGAACTAGGTACATCTAAAAAAAACTAACTGAAGCCCCAAATTTAGTGTAGGTCAGTCAGTTTGAGTTCAATACAGACAAATCACTTTCTATCTGTTAAGGAGTCAGAGGTGTTCTTGTGCCCTGGGTGGCAGTGATGGCATCCTCCATTTTGTGCCCCAAGTCAGTGCCCACTTCTAATTATGCTACTGTGAGCCTCTGTTCGATTAGGTGCACTGAGCTATTACAGGGCCTTTCAACATCTTACCATAAGGGAGGATAGAAATAAGCTTTAAGTGCATCTATACATGTGCTGGATGTCAGCTCCGATGCATGCTAATTAGCATGCATCAGAGCAGACTCAATTAACTGAGTTTGCACAGCCTCCATGTCAAGTGCATTCACCATCCCCGTGCTTCAAAATGGTATGGGGGGGATGGGTGGCGGTGGATGTGGTTTATGTTGAACATTTGTTGAACACTGAATAAGCTTTAGCTAAAGCACCCCCACTGCCATTTTGAAGCATGGGATGCTGAAAACACATGATGCTGTCAGCACTTTAATTAGAGTAGCTCCCAAGAGCAGTTCTAATTAAAGGACCCTCACCCCCAACTCGGAGCACATGTAAACATGTCCCTAAATGCCTCTAGACCTCTACTATGAATTGCCAGTTCTTGCGCTAAGGGATCATTATGCCAGTGAAGCCTTTATTCAGCACAACTGGTATATTTTCTTTGTATTATTTCCTTTGCATTTAATTAAATGGATAATAAGTGTTGCAAGTAACCTGGAGAGCATTAAACAAAACCCCAAGCCACATCAGAAAGCTTCAGAAATAATCCCCAAAAGCACAACCTCATTGGTCTCTCTTTTCTAAAGACTGAAATCTGCTTCTTTATCCAGTACACCTCTCACTTTAAATTTTGGTGCAATGAATTTAACCAGAATTTTCAGAGTAATGGCTCTTTGGTAAAGGAGAGAAAAGTTCTTAATTTGGCCAATGGATGAGAGAAGAATCTGGAGTGCCGTTACCTTTTTAAATATTGGGACTGACTATTCAGCAAGAATATCCAGATGAAAATTAATAAAGCTTCACATGCCTAAGCACATTTATTCCATAGGAATTCAATCTATCCTCAGATCCAAACTTTCTCATAACACCACTGACACTTAGCTCTTATATGGTGCTCTTCATTTGTAGAGCTAAACCTGTTGCCATAAGGAATGTAAGTCTTGTTATCCTTCTTACATAGCTGGGGAAACTGAGGCACAGAGTGACAAAATGACTCATCACAAGTCACCAAGGAGGCCAGTAGCAAAACTGGGAATAAAACCATTGTTGCAAGAATCCCATGTCCAGTGTTCATTGAAACATACTGCCTACCCAGTGCTCACTGTTGAAGCTTTATGTTTCACTCTGTTTATAGATTATATAGGGGTTGGATTCTCTTCCCATTGAGGACAATATGATTTTTGCCACTGACATCAGTGAGAGTGAGACTGAGCCCCATGACCTTTCCTTAGACATCTTACAAAAACAGACACGTTTTGATGGACTTAATGATCTGCAAATCCCTTTGTGACCTTGGCCTTATAGAACATGCCTTTAAAGCTTTGCTAGGAGATAAAGAAAATCAAGGACCAGTAAGAGAAAGTGCTAATCCTGAGCCTGAATCATGCTAAACCTATCTGGATTTCTATTGTATAGTCTCAGTTCAGCATGTAACCAGTCTCAAACAATGGCACAATTATACAGAAAAAACAAAAGAAAAACATGAAGGAAATGCACCAAAAATAAATGTATGGCTTAAAAAAACCCTTAGAAAGATATTTAAAATGTTTTTATGGTAGTATTTTGGCAATATGTGCCTCAGGCAATGAACATTTGGGATGCAAGATTTACAGAGTAAATTAAATTATGGTTGATCCCACCTGCATCTAAAAACATATCACTGTATTTTGTGCAAACATACATTATAAATTACTGCAGTGAGATACATGATCATATTCTTGGGGTGAAGGGTTCTTTACTCCCTTTCACATATGTTTAAAAAATTGCTCCATCTCAAGAACATCTTGACTTTTAAAAAATAATATTCATGTAGCTAAATTTCTACATAGGGGTATACAGGCTAAAAAGCTAAATAAATAACTCCTTAGATTCCTTCACAACAGTATATAGCAGCACTGTTTTGTCAGTGAGAGGATACAGATATTTACCTATACCCTATCTGTTCATCGGGTAATAGAAAACCAAATATGGGTCTGAGCAAAAACTGCTGATCTGAATGTCTCAAACTGTATGGAGGAAAAGAGCTTCAGAGTCCAAATTTTATAGCTTCTCCTTATCTGTAATGGCCTAAATGTTGAACACCAGATCTGGGAAACCACATGCTCTGGAGGATTCAAAATTCAGATGCACATTTTGCTGCTCAGACACATCTTCATATAATATTTAAAGTATCAATGTATTTCAGTACTGAAATACTCAAATGCCAAGGTGCAGTCGTTTTATGCAGCGAGGCTGCATTGGCTTGCTTGAGTTGCTCAAAGACAAAGAGACAGAGTATTATTGAAGTTTGACAGCAAGACAACAAGTCAGAGTGTGGTTCATATTTTTTTCACTGAATTGTATTTTCAGCACAGTGATAAATGGAGACTTACAAAATGAATGTGTGACAGAAAAGAAAATGTTAAACATCCTATTTCAGGAAGGCAGGGCACTGTAGATTAAACATTGGCCTTTATTCTAGGGGATTACTGACTGAGTCTAACCTGAGATCCTAAGTGAAATGAGTTTGGTGGATTCAGCTTTGCTTCAAGTTGTCTGCAATCCACATCACAAAAAGACACATCACAAAGCTATCGCATATAATTTGGCACAGTTGGCAGTCTCTGCTCAGGAAAGGCAGAGAACTGAGCTAACACGGGCACATTGATTTAACAATCCCTGGTAAATGGCCCTCTATGTCAGGTCTATGAAGTCCTTAGTGGGACAACTTGGAAAACTTAAAACCTTGACACCCTTTTTTCCTCCTCTTGCCCAGCAGCTAATCAGAGGATAAGTAGGGCTTCAGTTTCCACTGCTGCTAGTCCTTTTATCACAACTGAGCCCATATATTCACTCCAAAATGTAAACAAAATCCTTTCTAGAGGGATTCTCTGACAGATCTGTGTGGTGCAAAGACAGTAAATGTGCAGAACTTCACAGAGGACAAGAGAACTAGAAATGTTTGTAAAGCTAAGAATTAAAAGCTATGCAGTAAAAAAAGAGGCTGATTATGAAATAACAGTGTTCAAAGCACCTTTTAAATATTACCTCTATCTTTCATTAGCAATGCTAATTGCTAATGATCCTACTTGGATTTCTTTTGCCTGAAAAGTCTTCAGCCATGGAAATTGCATAGTCACCAGACTGCAGATTTATTTCCTGGGTTAATTCACAAGTTCATGCAGTTTTTGGTTGCTTGGTGGATTAACAAAACCCTTTTTCCCTTTTTCATAACAAAATAATAATTGTTATTTAAGCATACAAAGCTGGGAGCTTGTAAATGAAAATGCTGTGCAAGCCAGAGAAGCATGCAGGTGATGACTTCCACCCTCTGAACCTCAGACCCATTTATACTAAGTTGCTGCCACTCTGGCAGATCACCTTCACATCAAAGGATTCTACTTAAGCAGCTCTTTGTGGACAGTCAATCAAAAATAAAGAGAAAAAAAAAAGAAGAGGAGGAACCTGGAGGCATCGTGATGTTGCTTTCAACAGCTGCAGCATGCAATGATTATGCCTTTGTGAGGTCTTTTCTCTGGATAGCCCTGATTGGCAAGTTTATCCTCCCTTTGACAATCAGCAAGCCTGAAGAGCAGTCTCCTTTTCTTCTCTGAATAACTGATGCGTGCACTATATCTGAAATGAAGTCCTTGGCCACAGAGCACCTTTCATTTCCTTATTTCACCCACCTTGCATACTTGCGTGTGTGCTTTGAAAGTTTAACACCTCCAGCATCGTGGGGGGGTGGGTCTCAGAGATTATACAACTGCATTATTATCAACTGTTTTGTTGTTTTGGGAGGAGGTCATTGCATATTCAGCTCGATTTGTTCCATTCTCTTCTTTTCTCAGTGGTTTCCTTGGGTGATCATGGGATAGGTGATAAATGGAGGGAGGAGAGGAGAAGAAAGCAGAGAAATAAACATCTACATTACCAACATGGACTGAAAACAAGGACATTTCATAAATGCCCTAGGTTCACGATTAGAAAGTTGTTCTGGACATCAAAACATTTCCTTGTTTTTTAACTTTTTCTGGACCAAGATCAAAACAACAGTTGGTTTTCCCCAGCCTCTTGTTCTCCCTAGAACATAGTGATTAAGTTAATAATATTACATTATACTCTGTTTTGTCAGTGATAACCAATATGAATGAATTTGGATCAGATGGAAGTTGCTAGAATTATGGTGGGGGAAAGAAATGGGGGGAAAATCACTCTTTAGTTGAAGACCAGATTCTTCAAGGGCTGGGGCAATGCAAGCTTCCTTATGCCACCTACACCCTCGTGCTTCAAACCCGAGCTGGAGTGAGCGCGCATAAAGTACCTGGTTCAGTCTCCACGTCCGCGTAGTCCTTGGGCTCTGTACTGAGAGTACCAAGTAATGCAAACTGTGATAATGAAGAAATCTGTCCACTAAGGACTGAATTGAGATCGCCAACCCGTATAAAAAAATTAATTAAGAGTCATTATAATGTAACAACCAGAACCAGTGACTTTGGGGTGAAAAGTTGTCTTTGTTATGCCATGCCCAGTCTCAGGTCAACAGTTGAATCTCTTCCCCCAGTTTTCAAGTCACTGTGTCACCACCAGGTACCACAACTCTGGTAGACATGCAGTTCCAGAAATGTGCAGCAGGCTTAGAAAACTCTACCGAGTACTACAACAGCCACCTTACAAAAGTATGGTGTTTGTTCAACATTTTAAAGGGTCCCTGAGGAAAGAGACACCAATATAAATGTCATAGCTGAACACTTCCTCTTATGTCAAATAAATATTGTCATGGTTTCCTATCTCTCCCATGAATTCTCTCCTTACAGTGTACCCTTCATATAAACATGAATGTAAAAGTAATCTCAAGTCATGTAAGCAAAAAACAACTGTTGGTTTACATACAGATTGTAGCCTCTAGCATAAGGCATTTCTACTTCTTTCCTATAGCCAAAAATAATAGCGAGGACTAGAGAAGCAAGCATAAACCACCAATAAAGTCTCTGGTGTTGTTTTTAAGTAGTTTAGTGAATCAACTTCCTCCCCACCCCCCATCCCAAAATAAACTTGAAAAAATCAAGACATTCAATATGACAGAGTTATAT